AATGTGACCTCATCACTCCACACAATCTTTGTTGGAAAGTGCACATCTTCTACACATCATGCCAAGTACCACTGGCAATATTCCATTCTTCAGTCTGGTTCATCGTCATTAATAGCATGAACTAATCTTGGAATGTGACTTTTCCATTGACAGCGTTTCAAAATGTGTCAGACAGATGGTTCTGAAATACCTACCTAACGACTCACTTGCCACTTGATTTTCTTGGACTTTTGTGATACATTTCCAGTACTCTTTCTTGCTTTGTATAGCTTGTCAATATCTGTGGTCTTCCAGAAGATTTCTCGTGGACATTCTAAAGAGTTCCATCAACTTCAAAATTATCTGTAATTTGAGTGATGGTAAGTCACATTGTTAGATCTGTTTGAGACTCCCTCCTAAACCGTCTTTGCACTTCAAATGCATTTTCACACTTCCGGTAGCATTTTAGAATGAATTGACTTTGTTCAAAGTTTAGCTTGGCTGCCATCATTAATTCTAATGGGCTTAACCTAGAAAGACAAAAAACATCAATTAAGCTAGCAGCTGTTAAAGTGTGTATACATTTTTTTTGGATACCCTGTATATCTTGATTGAAAAGTAACTCCCTATTTTATTTATGAATGACCAACCAGGAGTTTTGACTTAACACCCTGTGACTTTTTTCTTTGGGGTAAGTTAAAAGAGCAAGTCTATATCAAACCAAGGCTTTGGAAGAATTGGAAGGGCAAATACAAGAAGTTATGTTTTCCATGCCACAAGAGTACCTGGTGAAATCAGTTGACACGATTCCTTGGTGTCTCGAGAAGCTTGTAGCGAAATCTGGTGCCTATATTGAATTTTAAATAAAACCTCATACTAAACACTTTCCTCTCATATCCATTTCTTGTAAAAAATTATAGTTAATAAATAAATTATAAGTATTTTAATATGGGGAGTTACTTTTCAATTTGTGTGTGTGTGTATATCTCCATAATAATTAAAAACCAAAAACCCAACAGAAATAAAATAGCATTTAATACTGACAGAAACATCTTAAATATATTTAATAACTAATCCTCCAAATAATAAACACCAACTCCCTCCTTAATAATGAACTAATCCAACCACACTGTCTAAATACCCAAAATATTATCTCTAAAATAAAATAAGCAACCTACTTCAAACCAAAACATATAGCCATGATGATGGTTGACGACAACCGAAAGTGCTCGGCAAAACGCCATGGACTAGGTTTGGTTTGTTTTATGGCATATCAACCTCAATGGGTTATTTAATGCCGACAAGATTTTTATTGCTGGCAATGTTTTCCTTCAAAAATTATTGCTGGTAATAATTTTTTTATTACAAAGTATTTCTGGTATTAAAACTTATTTTTACACAAGTTTGGGTGTTAACTTTGCCCATAGCTGAGACCCTAACAGGTGCTACCACCCCGGATCAGGGTGGACCTGGGAACACCAGCAATTAAGAGGTCTTCAAAACCTCCTGATCAGAGGCCTTGCTGTTGGATGTAGCTTATCATCATACCCAGTACGACCATGGACTAGGATCTTTTTTCAACAACTTAGACCCAAATATAAAAAAAAAAATATTGCAAGAAAAAAATGTTTATTAAACAGAAAAAGTTCCATAGTCTTTAACAACACATACCTTGACAAATTTAACATTGGTAAGTGTTTTTTAGCATGGTCTAGGCTTTAAGCACTTTACAGAGTAGGTAAATTTGCTTTCAGACCTTTTCGCTTTCTTTTTTTCTGGATAAGAGTTTAGGTTTTGGCAAGCTGTCTCTTTGTTCCACCAACGATTTTTGTTATATATCTTTTGCTGGGAGAATGAAAAAGATTACCATTCTTTCATTAGTATGTTCCTTGTCTTCTTATTGTTGTTGAGACATATTCAAGAAGTTTGTTTCATACTCTGTAAGATGTACTAATAGAGCATAATAGACATTGGGGAGCAGAATTCAAGTTCTTGCCAAGGCAGTTTATGTTCATTTTGGACTTCATCTCTGGTAAGGAAGTGAAGAAGTGTGAGAAGAAACACTCTCCTTAATAATGTTTTACATTTTCTTCTATTCTTTCACACTCAGCATCTTAGTGGCTTTATTACCTTGCTTGGGGGGATGATTAAAAAAAAATAACTATAACACCTGTAAATATTCACTTGTTCATGTTAATCAAGTGCAACTGTTTTAACAGTCACCAGTAGATTTGAATACAATGCTATATATGCATGGCTTGTTGGATGTTTATATAATGACTGGTAGGCTTCTTTGTTCTTGTTTGTGTTTTTTACAACTTGAAATTAGAACCAATTCTAGATAGTTCCATGTAACTAGAACTGCAGTAACAGCTTTGTGATAGAACATCTGACTAATGCTATTACCATTAAGTTTTATTGTGTCAAGCTGTGTGGATACTTGGCACTTGTGATTAAGATAGGTTCAGAGTGGTGTTTGGTCACCAAAGCTTTAAGACACCTAACCTTTTTTTTCATTTAGGAGTGGAAAAACAAAGACTTCTCTCTCTCTTTCTGTTTTTTCCTCTCTCTCTCTCTTTCTGTTTTTTCCTCTCTTTCTCTCTTTTCTGTTTTTTCCTCTCTTTCTCTCTTTCTGTTTTTTCCTCTCTTTCTCTCTCTTTCTGTTTTTTCCTCTCTCTCTCTCTTTCTGTTTTTTCCTCTCTCTCTCTCTTTCTGTTTTTTCCTCTCTCTCTCTCTTTCTGTTTTTTCTCTCTCTCTCTCTCTCTCTTTCTGTTTTTTTCTCTCTCTCTTTCTGTTTTTTTCTCTCTCTCTTTCTGTTTTTTTTCTCTCTCTCTTTCTGTTTTTTTTTCTCTCTTTCTGTTTTTTCTCTCTCTCTTCTTTTTTTTTTCTCTCTCTCTCTCTTTCTGTTTTTTTCTCTCTCTCTTTTTTTTTTTCTTCTCTCTCTTTTTTTTTCTCTCTCTTTCTCTTTTTTTTTTTCTCTCTCTCTCTCTGTTTTTTTCTCTCTCTCTTTCTGTTTTTTTCTCTCTCTCTCTCTTTCTGTTTTTCTCTCTGTTTTTTCTGTTTTCTCTCTCTTTCTCTTTCTGTTGTTTTTTTCTCTTTTTCTGTTTTTCTCTCTTTTTCTCTTTCTGTTTTTTTCTCTCTTTCTGTTTTTTCTCTCTCTCTTTTCTGTTTTTTTTCTCTTTCTGTTTTTTCTTTTTCTCTTTCTGTTTTTTTCTCTCTCTTTTTTTTTTCTCTCTCTCTTTCTGTTTTTTTTTTCTCTTCTTTGTTTTTTTTTTCTCTCTTTTTCTGTTTTTTTTCTCTCTCTTTCTGTTTTTTTTTCTCTCTCTCTTTGTTTTTTTTTCTCTCTCTTTCTGTTTTTTTTTTTCTCTCTCTCTTTCTGTTTTTTTCTCTCTCTTCTTTTTTTTTTTTCTCTCTTTCTTTTTTTCTCTCTCTCTTTCTGTTTTTTTCTCTCTCTCTTTTTTTTTCTCTCTCTCTTTCTTTTTTTTCTCTCTCTCTCTTTCTTTTTTTTCTCTCTCTCTCTTTCTTTTTTTTCTCTCTCTCTCTTTTTTTTCTCTCTCTCTCTTTTTTTTCTCTCTCTCTTTTTTTTTCTCTCTCTCTCTTTTTTTTTTCTCTCTCTCTTCTGTTTTTCTCTCTCTCTTTCTTTTTTCTCTCTCTTTCTGTTTTTTCTGTTTTTTTTCTTTTTTCTCTCTCTCTTTCTTTTTTTTTTCTCTCTCTCTTTCTGTTTTTTTTCTCTCTTTCTGTTTTTTTCTCTCTCTCTCTTTCTGTTTTTTTTTCTCTCTCTCTTTCTGTTTTTTCTCTCTCTCTTTCTGTTTTTTTCTCTCTCTCTTTCTGTTTTTTTTCTCTCTCTCTCTCTTTCTGTTTTTTTTTCTCTCTCTCTTTGTTTTTTTTTCTCTCTCTCTCTTTCTGTTTTTTTTTTTCTCTTTTTCTTTTTTTTTCTCTTTTTTTTTTTTTTCTCTCTCTTTCTGTTTTTTTCTCTCTTTCTGTTTTTTCTCTCTCTTTTGTTTTTCTCTCTCTCTTTCTTTTTTTCTCTCTCTCTTTCTTTTTTCTCTCTCTTTGTTTTTTTTCTCTCTTTCTGTTTTTTTCTCTTTCTGTTTTTTCTTCTCTCTTTCTCTCTCTCTCTCTCTCTTTGTTTTTTTCTCATCTCTTCTTTTTCTGTGTTTTTTCTCTCTCTCTCTCTTTGTTTTTTTCTCATCTCTTCTCTTTCTGTGTTTTTTCTCTCTCTCTCTTTGTTTTTTTTTCTCTCTCTCTCTTTGTTTTTTTCTCATCTCCTCTTTCTGTGTTTTTTCTTCTCTCTTTCTGTGTTTTTTCTTCTCTCTTTCTGTTTTTTTCTCTCTCTGTTTTTTTCTCCCCCCGCCTCTGTCTCTCTCTCTTCTCTCTCTCTCTGTTTTATTTCTCTTACATACACACACTAGCTGCATGTACACCCATAATGACTATATATCCTCTTTTACATGCTGTAATTTCCTAACCTTTTTAGCTCCAACCACTCTTTATCCCTTTACCATCCTTCTCAGTTTATGTCCTGCCATCCATTTATACAAGCTTATTTGCTTCTTCCCTCTGCACCTTTTGCTGTAAATATATCCTGTAAGTATCAAATTCTCCAAGCCCTCTTTCTTCATTATGTGTCTCAGAAAGTTTAACTACCTCTTTCTGGCTCTCAGTTTAAGCATACTTTTTGTTTCCAGTTGTCTTAAAACATCCTTATTGCTCACTTGCTTTGTCTATGTTATTTTCAACATTTTTTCTATAGAACCTCTTTCTTCAGAAGTTTACTGGAAAGCAAGAAGCTAGAAGAGAGTGCCACAAGTAAGAAGTATGACAGAAAAGTCTAGGTACCATAGAGGAATGTTCATCAGAACAATTACTATGAAAGTATTTGTAGAAAAAAGGCATGGGGAAGCTGCATTACGGTGGTGGGAAAGTGATTGGTGCCGAGATACCAGATTGGGGCTAATAACATTGCAGATTCTTCTTTGTATTTTATCAAGAATCTCTAAATATATAGCAGGAGCATCAGACCAGATGTGGCAGCAATATTCAAAGCAACGATGAATGGTAGACTTATAAATATGTAAGATAGATTCCTCTTTGGATTTTATCAAGTATCTCTAAATATATAGCAGAAGCACCAGACCAGATATGGCAGCAATATTCAAAGCAAGGATGAATGGTAGACTTATAAATATGTAAGATAGATTCTGGTGAGAGAAATTGTCTAGCATGACACAGGGAACTAACTTTCCTAACAGCAGACATAACAATTGATTCAATATAATCTTTCCACTTCATGTCAGCAGAAAAGGTTAAAACAATTCCCCTGGTATTTAAATTTCTTTACCTGCTTGATTCTGACATCTCAAATTAAGAGATTCCATGTTGTGCTTTATCCTTTTCTAATGACCAGTACATGTGTGTGTGTGTGTGTGTGTGTGTGTGTAAAATAAGATATTTGGAATAATTTCTAGTTTACTAGGCTTACACTTATAAAAACAAACTCCGTATCATGTGTCTATAAGGATTAGTTAGAGATATGACTAAATCTTATTTGTTCAGCAAAGCAGGTGAGTAATACAGAACATCTGTTGTTACCAGGTATTGTTGATTAATTTTAAAAAATCCAAAAGCAAAGTATTTGTTTACCTGTATAAAATAAGTCATTGACTGAAGGTGAGACATACCAGTAAACAAAACTGAAATTTTGGTACTATTATACATTGATTTTTTTCTGTTACATTTTTTTTTTTTTTCTGTTACTATTTTTTTATTTTTGTTGTTTTGATTACAAAATTTAACTGCAGTATTTTCTGACCTTTCTCAGTTGTTTGTTTGTTTTTTTTGTTTTTTTTTTTAACCTGATGAAGAAGGGAGGGTGTCCAAAGCAGTAAATTGGTTTATTCTTTGAAATTCCTGAGGAATGTGACAGGTATAGGAATAGGTACAATAGTACTGGGATTCCCAAAATGGGTGGTACTGCCTTCCTGGGAGGAGTAGAAAGATCTAAGGGGTGGTCAGTAAAAAGGGGACAGTTAGAAAAAAGTAAGTTAAAACAAAGTAATATTTTTTTTGTTTATTTTTCTTTCCTTTTCATTTACAAAATCTGAGTTACGTACACTTTAAAAAACACCTATGCTTTTCAAAGAATAAAAGGAATACAAGAGTTACATTATGAACACATGGTTTTACCATATTTTACTGCCCAAAGTTAAATATTCAAATGTTTTTTTGTATTTTGTTGATGTTATCTGAGTAGGCTGTACCACAGGATGGCTAGATCAGACATCTGATGTCCTTACACTGCAGGATGCAATGGATAAATTGTGGTCTAAATGATGTGAAAATGAAAATAACACTAATATCTCATTTTAACAGATATATTTATCAAAATGACACAAAAATATCTTGAAATATTAAAGAGTAAATCTATTCAATAAAATCACCATTGGCTTCAAACTTGTTCTTCAGGTGACTTTGGGATCTCCTGCAACTCATCTGTACAGTCTCCTTGTTTAAGTTGGTGAATGCTGCCATAATCCTTGCTTACAGTTCATCTTTGGTGTTAGGAGTTTTGTTGGTCTCTCGTTCAACTGTGCTCTACACATAATAATCAAGGAGTTGCAGTCTGGGGACTTAGGTGGCCAAATGTAAGGGGCGATGTGGTCACAGAAATTGTCTGACAGCCATGATTGGGTTCTCCTGCTTGTGTGGCATGGTGCAAAATCCTGTTGCCAGACATGAGGTCTTCCAGTAACCACCCTCTGAAATGTTTGTATTGGAGCTTCCGGTGCGAATGCCAAGCAGTACAGCATGCAGTTTCCAAATTTCTGGTAGAGTGAATTGTGTCATGTTGTTCTTTTTCTCATAGATAGTGTCCAACTGGCTTATTATAGTGTGCAATCGACAAAATCGAAAACAAGCATGCACGTGCAAGATTAAAAATATAAAATGGCGACAAATTCTTGGCACTTTAAATCAAAAATGAAAACTTAGCTAACACTCATGCATTTTTGTTTTTCTTCAAAGTCATTACATAAGAAAAGCCAAAATGCATGTGTCAGAAATTTCTTTGTGTGGGAATTGGACATTATGGGTGTGGCCTGACAGTAACTGATTCAATATAATCACCCCACTTCATGTCAGTGAGAAAGGTGAGACCAAGAAGTCTCCAGGAGGTTAGCATCAGCCATGTTGATGGAGACAAAAAAAAGGTTCATTATGGTGATTAAAAGATAGTGAAGTTTACAAAGCATTTCATGCCCCAGTTCTGGTTTTATTTTTCAATATATGTATTCAATAATTTTCATCCTCAATCTTTCTCTATGATTCTGGTGATAATTTTATTTTCGAAAATCATTTTTGTGAGCATCAAGAATGATGGCAATCTTCAAATATTTTCCACATAATCATAATTAAGAATGGTTCATCTAAAAAAAAAAACTGAAAACTATTACTACTTGGTAGAAAAAGCAAGAGAAATAAGATGAAAGAAATACTAGTGAAAAATGAATAATAATTGCCAAGGCTTCATCTAAGAAATTCAGGCAACTTAAGACTATTACTACTTGGTGGAAAAGCAAGAGAAATAAGATGAAAGAAATACTAGTCAAAAATTATTACCTGAGAAATGCTTTATCTCCAAAATTTAGACAATGTAAAAATAGTTATCTCCACTTTTTTTGCTGAAAAAACAATCAAGCATTATGAAAAAAGGCCCCAAACTTAATAAAAACAAAGTTTTATTGTCAAAATGTTTATTATTTAGAGGAAAAACCAAAGTATTTTTTATTTTATTAAATTTTTTTAATCCTTTCTAGCACATTCATAATTTTGGTTTTAGATTATGGGGAATATTTTCCAACATTTTTAAGATTAATGAGTACTTAAAAATTATATAAAAAAAGGGGCTCACTCATCATTGTCTGACAGCCATGATTGGGTTCTCCTGCTTGTCTGGCATGGTGCAAAATCCTGTTGCCAGACATGAGGTCTTCCAGTAACCACCCTCTGAAATGTTTGTATTGGCGCTTCCGGTGCGAATGCCAAGCAGTACAGCATGCAGTTTCCAAATTTCTGGTAGAGTGAATTGTGCCATGTTGTTCTTTTTCTCATAGATAGTAAATGTTTTAACAGATAAAGTCTCCATAGAACAACAATAAAACTGTCAACACCTTTATCGGCACTTATGTGCTTGACAAGTGATGACAAGTATGTAATCATTGCTACTGTTTTTAAAAATCCATTTCTCTGTTATTTTAAACTTAAAGTAAATAAAAAATTTTTTAAAAGATTAATTATACTTTAAATCAGCTAATATTCCTCAAATAAAGTTTTAGAAAAGTATATTTTATTTTTGGAAGAGTTTTTAATACAGAAAGACAATGAAAAAAAAAATGAAAGACAACTAAAAAAAAAATCTATTCCAATCAATATAATTTCTGTTTGAAATACACCAGAGTATTTTGCTTACTATAAATTGTAAACTTGATCGTCTTAATTAAAGCTAAAATGAAAGCTTCAAGGAAGCTTCTTTCATTTATAAAAATTCATTTTAAACCAAGGTATCAAAAATTAGTAGCAGTACTATCCTATAAAACTATCCTTTCTTGAAAAGTGGATGCTTTATGTTCAAGCGAATGATTTGATTAGTTTTTAACTATGTCTTTGATAAAACAAAAACAAATCCTAAACGAAATAACTTTATATACAGGATGTCCATAAAGTTTGTGAGCACTTTAAACAATTTATAACTTTATTTGTATTTGCGATAGAAGTAATCTGTAAAAAATGTTATAAAGTTTAATGTACCTAGTTTTAAGTATAGCTAAAATAACTAATGTGATTTCAGGCATTACTGTAAATCAGTTGGCAAATATTTTCCGTGAACTGCAAAATCGTATTACCCTTTGTATTGCTACAAACATATGGAAACTTAAATAAAATTTCAATAAAACCTTAAAAAATATAGATTTACTTCTTTCTAATCCTTTTTACAAATTATTTCTATCGCAAATACAAATAAAGTTATAAATTTTTTAAAGTGCACACGAACTTTATGGACACCTTGTGTAATTTTAACAGTTCTTTTTCTTTCACAACTGAATACCAGTTTTGATGCCTTTTTGTAAAAAATTAATAAAAAGGAAAAAAAAATGTATTTGGGAATGAGTGCTGCCAAGAGAGAGAATTATTTAGAGGTTGGCAGATTTTCTAATCTATTCAGTTGCTAGTGTTATCGATATAATTTTTCATTTGTTCAATTGAAAGTTTACAGACAGACAGATTATGCTTTTTCTTATTAGGCATGACTAATTTTTTGAATTATCAGTGCATTGAATCCAAATCAATGTACATTTTCCCCAACCTGTTCCCCCAGCCTCTCAACTGGCTGGCAGCAGTGATGGCGGCCGAAGCAGCAGCAGTAAGATTGAATTAATTAAACACCAAAGAAAAGAAAAAAAAGAAAAAAAAAAAAGAAAAAAAGGATTCTTTTGTCATCACAAATGGTGCAGTACTTCTTGTAGTTTCCATGCAATTCCTTAAACAGAAAAATACGCTGCTATTTTTAGATCAAAAACAACAATTTTATGTTATTAGTTTATTTGTTTATTTATTTTTTCTAAGATGTAAAATGCAGTTTATGTATGAACAACTCTGGTAAAATTGAAGTTTGAAGAAATATTTAGAATTCCTGTTGGATCTCCCCATCCATCAGTCTACCAATGGAAGGACTTCACCATTGACATGCCGAGCCAGTAAATCATGCTGAAACTACATTGCAAAATATATTACTGATTAAAATACTTGATAAAACCAAACAAAACAAAACAGACACACACAGGCCTTTATCCATGAGAGACACACTCTGAGTGTGCTATGTTTCTTTAGCTGAAGGTATATCTAACTGGGTCCCACCTGCAAGGTTATGTGCTTCTGTCGGGGTCGGGGTGGGGGGATATTGAACCTGGTAGATTTATACCACACTATCACATTTTTTTGCATATTGCTCTTCACTTGTTATTATTCTTAGTAGTAGTATTATTTTTCTTCTTTGTAGTAGTGGTGGTAATAATATTTTTCTTCGTAGTACTAGTGGTGATAATAATATTTTTCTTCGTAGTACTAGTGGTGATGATAATATTTTTCTTCGTAGTACTAGTGGTGATAATAATATTTTTCTTCGTAGTACTAGTGGTGATAATATTTTTCTTCGTAGTACTAGTGGTGATAATAATACTTTTCTTTGTAGTAGTAGTATTAGTGGTAATAATATTTTTCTTTGTAGTAGTAGTATTAGTGGTAATAATATTTTTCTTTGTAGTAGTATTAGTGGTAATAATATTTTTCTTTGTAGTAGTATTAGTGGTAATAATATTTTTCTTTGTAGTAGTATTAGTGGTAATAATATTTTTCTTCGTAGTAGTATTAGTGGTAATAATATTTTTCTTCGTAGTAGTATTAGTGGTAATAATATTTTTCTTAGTATCATTATTATTATTATTATTAGTAGTAGTAGTAGTATTAGTTGTAGTAGTGTACTACTGGTAATGGTAATATTATCAATAATCAATTTAAAAAGGCCTCAAAACCATTAAATCCCAAGGGGAGAAGCACTAATTAATTAAAAAGAAAAATAAATTTGTTTTTAAAATATCATATTGGTTTCACTGTGAAAATGTTTATTTTACCACAATACCAACTTTACTTTCAACAATACCGATACCATACTACCAATACCAACTTTACTTTCAACAATACCAATACCATACTACCAATACCAACTTTACTTTCAACAATACCAATACCATACTACCAATACCAACTTTACTTTCAACAATACCAATACCATACTACCAATACCAACTTTACTTTCAACAATACCAATACCAATACCAATACTAACTTTACTTTCAACAATACCAATACCATACTACCAATACCAACTTTACTTTCAACAATACCAATACCATACTACTAATACCAACTTTACTTTCAACAAATCTAATCTAGAATTTTGAGCTGGAGGATTATGTGTATTTTCTTTGGGATTTTATTCTTGTTACTGGAATTTCACAACCCCTATTTTTGACCCTTTTGTCAGAATATTTTGTTGGAAGAGATGAGAAGGTGACAATATAATGCAGCCTGTGTTGATTCTGTTGTACAGATCCTCACCAGGTTAATGAGGCTCCTTGCTTTGAATATCTATTGGAAATAAAAGCTTACATTAGGCCATAAGTGGAACTTGTATTTTCATACTAGATCCATGTGCCACTCCAGAAGGTACTTGACCCCTCTTACCATGATCAGACCAGAAGTTTTACTGCTGATATAACTGGTGCTACCCAGTCCTCACTGTCCAATCTTGACAGAGTTCAAAAACAATTACCCGGCCTTGTGGGTGATGAATTATTTTCTCTAAATGTCACAAGGCTATCATTACTCGGTTGCTATTTCCAAGGCAAATTTTCAGATAAGCTACATTTCTGAATTCCACCAGTTCAGACCTTCACATTTAGGACCCACTATGCCATGCATACACCATGAACTCCTCATTCCCTTTGTCTTCCTTTGGTAAGGAGGAAGTTCCACTTGGACAGCTTCTTCTCCAGAACAGTCACTTTGTGGAACAGACACTTGAGAGGATGCTTCTCCAACTAGCACAATCTTAACTGCTTCAAGTCTGTGGTCAGTCGTTATCTATCCTACATATCCTCATAAAATGCACTTTTTACCTCCTCCTTTTACACCCTCACAACAACCTTATTCAGTAATTCTCTGCCTTGAGTGGCTCTTAGGTGAACAATAGTATATATAAAAAGCCTTGGAACATAGATTTTTAAAAATAAGTATTATAGCTGTAGACAATGGCAAATTATTTTTTTTTCTTAATACTGGAATTCATCCAATACAGTGCTCGAGAGCCACTTAAAGTAGAGCTGTATTGATAAAATGGTAATGATGATTAACTGCTTTGTATATTATTAGACAGCACAAACTTTGTCACAAGTTCATGCTCTTTGGGCACTCATAAAATTATCTGTTTTGGTAAAAATTTAAATGTCAGCTATATTGTTTCCTTATGCCAAAAATTCATATTAATTAAAAGAAATTATATATTTTTTCCCTAATTTTTTGAGTGAACCACTATATTGAAGTAGTTCCCTGATTTTTAACTAAACAACATTTAACCCATAAACAGTGGGAAGAGGTTGCATAAAGATGCATGCCAAACTAATAAAAAAAAAAGAGAATTTTTTTTATAGTGTTTTTTTTATATAGTGTTTTTTTTATATAGTGTTTTTTTTATATAGTGTTTTTTTTTTATATAGTGTTTTTTTTTTATATAGTGTTTTTTTTTATAGTGTTTTTTTTTATAGTGTGTTTTTTTTATAGTGTTGTTTTTTTATAGTGTTTTTTTTATAGTGTTGTTTTTTTATAGTGTTGTTTTTTTTTTTTGCTTTATATATACAAAAACTAAAAACAATATTTTAACACTTTATATTCTTGTAAATAGTAAACCTGTAAATTTTCATTGCTGATTATTCATTTAGATTTGAATCTTGAACAAAGGATGCCTGTATCATTGGAAAAAATATTAACCTTTATCACTCTGCATTATTGATATTAATTCCCCTTCCATTGCATTCTTTTTAAAGGGCCTAATTGCAAATTCCTTATTGTGAATTTCACTTAATGTTGGTTTCTGTTACCATAACAGGATATGACATCACAGCTATGAAATTCAAATGCATTATTCTTTAGGGATCAGTCACTTTCAGTAGCAAGATAAACTTTTTGTACAGCAAATGAGGGTACATACACATTAAAGGTTTTAATTATAAAATGATATTTCAACTTCTTAAGTCCTTGTAAATAGTAACATCATGACTCCTAGTTGGCAATTATTTATTTAGATTTGAATCTTGAATGAATGATGCCTGTATCATTGGAACAAGTTTAAACAATCCATTGATGATATCTGCTATTTCCTTTTAAGTAATAGTATATATCAGTTCTACTCAAAGGTAGTACCATAGGAAACAAAGCAACAGTAGTAGTAACATTTCCCTACCACTGGAGACTGCCTGGAGGTCTGACTTTTTTTTTTTTTTTTTTTTTTTTTTTTTTTTTAACATTTAGCCTACCTACAGATGATAATGGGTACATATTTACAGTAGTAAATACTGTATGTTGGTCTGCAGTTGGAGATTCATTGGGGAATTCACTTGACTCACTTCTATTTCTTCTACATGCTGCTGGCGAATCTTATATATGCTTTTTGTGTCCTAAGTATTGTCATTCATTACCAATCTTCATGTGATTATTCTATTCAGTAACCTTCCCTAGGTTACAAAAGTTTTTTTATTTATTATGATTGCATTTTTCAATTACTCACTCATGTTAAGTCATTGTTACACAACTAACGAATGTGATATGACAAATAGCAAAACAGTAAACTGAAGTATATATGGAAACACATCATGATGGTGTGACTGTAGGAACCACACCCAGGAATAACAAAACACCATTTTCATGGTCATGTATTTCTATAAAATCAATATAAAATAAAACAATGATGCAACTTTCATTATATTTTTCTGGTATACAGGAATAATATTATGAATGTTCAAATAATATTTTCTGGGATCATTATTATATAATTATATGGCACTAATCCCTGGCACACTGGGAAAACTTGTTACAACAATGATGCCTGACCTTTGATTGAATAAGACATCATGTCCACATCTTTAGTAAAAAAAAAATAGTCTCAAAATAACCTTGAATGAGGACATATATAAAAAAAAAAAAAAAAAAAATAGATATGGGTCTACCCCCCCCTTCTCCTCAGGTCAGAAATTTTCACCTGCTAGTCCCTCACACATTGAAAAAAAAATACTGACAGTATGTCACATAAGATAGGTTTGAGAAGCACTATGAGAAATGATTAGATGGTTCCACCCTTTTGACTCCCTTTCCAGGATCCAGTAACAAGTTGGGGATGAGAACAACTGGTGGAGGATCTTTGTGTTATGTCCCTTCAGTGGGTAATTATAGCTCTCCACAACTTCCTTTCAAGTGATCGGCCATCAGACTAAGCTTCATTGTAAGGAATGGACTTCTTTTGCATCTGTTGGTATGCAGGAAGAAAAAAGATTCTGACAGAATAAAAGAGAAAGACAAGCAGGAAGAAAAGAGAGAAAGAGAAATATTTTGGCAGAAAAGGAAAAGAATTAGAGAAAGACTGACAGGAAGTAAAAAAGAGAGAGATGCAGCAAGATATTTTAAGATTATAAAAATGAAAAAAAAATGGAAATAAAAAAAAAGTAGGTTTCTAAATTTAATATTTGTTAACAGTACAATACTCCTTGATGCACTCCATGCATAATGGCATTGTGCATTCTTTGTATAAAGTTGTCAAAATTTTTTTTTCCTCTTCTTTGAGAAGTATGCAGACATAACACTGTCTTTGGCTTGTTCTTTGAGCTTTTTCAAGCCAGGAAATGAAGTAACCTCATGAATCCTAAAGTTGTCAGTTAGATTGGAATCATAAACGAATGATGCATGTATTGTTCGGAAGAGTTTAAATCATCAACTGATTATATCAAATGATCTCCAATGAAACCTCAATTGATGATGCTGTCATTTAAGGGGCTTAATATAAGACATAAGACATGCTCGGAATCACCTGAGGACGTAGCATACCTGACAATGAAAGTAGATATTACTGAACAATTTGTGTTGTAAGTTATTGGGTATAAGAGAAACTGACCAGTTAGCGAAAAACTGCCCAAGAAACCAGTGCGTGATAAAAAATAATAAAGGTGAAAGTCAGGAAGGATAATGTATGGGTTTTCTGTTCTATTGTACGTTTGACAGTAAACAAATTTAGATGTCATAACAGATTTACTTAGTGAAGTTTATGATTCTTTCTCTACCTGAAAAATAAAATATGAAGAGATAGGGGAAATTGGATAAGAAATAAAGAAAAGACTGCAATCCTCCAGTGAATGTGGAAACTTGAAGCAACAGATGTAGTTCTACAGAAGGATACTGAGAATAAAATGGATAGAGCAATGGAGGACACATGGCACAGTGGATAAAAGCGTTAGTTAGATCCAGTGACAGGACACAAAGAGTGTGAGTTCAATACCTAGTTAAGGCGGTTGAGAACTTGGAGAGGGGAATAAACAGGAGATAACTGATATCCATTAGACATGGCATGTGGAACTAGAACAGTCTACCCCAGTGAGCAAAATAAAGGGTTCAGTTTGACATTCCAACAACCTGAAGAAGGCTGGAGTGTACAACGGCCGAAACATTGTGATAAACATGGCGACAAAGATGAGGAAAATTGTCCGAATAATGTAAATAGTGTACATAATATCTCATCTCAGAAATATAGACAGATACTGAAAGGCCGAAATGTAATAAATATGGCAACAAAAATGAGGACAATA